GAAGGCCCAACCCAAATACGCGGCGGCCTGCGCCACGTGGCGGCCCCTGGCGGCCTAACTTTCCGGGACCACCTCCACCACGGAGGAATTTTCCCGTAACCCGTTGTCCACAGTGTCCCGGTTCCTTGGGACTGTGAGACCCTTGCGTGCGCACCCCTCGCTCGCCTAATTGCATTCATATCCTTAAGACTCCCCCACTTCCCCCAAAAATCCTTGGCACACCCCTTTTCGCACTTCCAGGCCTACACTCCACTCCGATCAGGAAGTCGCGCTGGGCGTGAGGTTGGGCATCACACCGCAGGCAAATATGTGGTGTACTGGTGCTTTAAGCCTACATCTCCCGTCCCCAGAATACACAGGGCACAGATACAGCAAGAACGGAGCAGACACCACGAGCCCATAATTGGAGGCATACAAAAAAGAGAGTCTGTTTACTTCCAACTCGGCTGATAGCAGCAATGCAATGAATGCAGAGGGCAGAAGTTTGTTTGCTTCCCTGCCTAGAATGTATTGCACTTGCATTTCTTAGTACATACCTGCTGCCGGGCAGAAGGGTGAAGAGGTGCAGAAGCATTCTAGAGCACTCCAGAGCCGTCAAGAGTTTTACAATAGCTCAGCCAACTATGGCCATGTGGCATTCACACTCTCGCAGACTCACTACATATACTCAAGGGACGCTGGAGCCGATTTCCAGCAGGTGATGCTCCCCACCAATAGACGGAGCGGCTAGCAACAGGCTTACGTGGGGAGGCTGCTCATATCACCTCCCCTAATAGACCTAGTCTAGCCTGTTATTGAAAAGAAAGAAAGAAAGGGGAAAAAAAAAAAAAACCTGGGTCCACCTCAGTGTTGGGTATGCAAATAATTTGTACTGGCTGTTTCCCGGGTCTGGATGCACGTTGGGCGCTGGGACTGGGTAAAGCGGGTATTCCTATCTTTAAATGGGATACAGAATCTACAGATGCAATTTTCCCTGTATCCAGTCCAGTGCGTTCACTGGAGGTATACCCCAGCTGCAGTCTCATGCTGTCCTTTTCATTCATTCTGAGTATGGGGATTATCTCGTGTACAGTGTGAGTGTGAGGTGTGAGGTGTGTGCTGTGTGCTCTCCTCCATGCTTGACAACCTTCCTTCTCCACCACGATCTCCACCTTCACCCTCTTCCTTCTTCAGGGCATAGGCAGGATCTCCCATCCCCCTGCCATCCCGCCAGACCCTGTTCCATAGGACCAGATGTACAGTGTTAATTGGTTACATATCAAGGGTACTGAATGCAAACAGCAGCAGAAAGAAATTGTCTATCCACTACACCAGGCAACGCCCATGGCCCACAAATGTGCATGCCTGGGCCAGACCCCCCATGCCCGCATTAGCTGGAACATGGTGGTCGTGGGCCGCCAGGGTCAGCTGGATATGGTGGACCAGGCCTTGGTCAAAGCCTAACGGCCCTAACCCTGCCCCATGTGACCTTTACCCTAATGGCACACCCATGGACAGCTGAGAAACAGACCTGTGTTGGAATCCTGGTGGAATCAGATGAATAAAATATAACTCTGCGTTACCTGGGGCATGTCAATTCTATGATGAAGCCCCGAGGGCATTGCACTTTCAAAGCCGAGAGAAAGTGAAAAAAAAGGCGGTGAACGTCTGACAGTCAGAGAGAAAGGGAAGGAGGTAAGGAGGGAAGGAGGCAGGGGAGGAGTGGAGAGCAATGGAGAGGAGGGAGAGGATGGAGAGGAAGACATAACGAACAGCTGCAGCGCACATGGTTCAACGTCCACCTCGAGCCTCGTGCATATCGAGGGCATACTCATACGAGGACTTTCCTGGATGAATCTGACCACTTATACGGCGGCACATGGATGCACCTGATGGCAATCAGTTCAATGGACGAGTTCCCAGACTAAGTGTGAG